ATATTGCCTTTTTCCTTGGGTGACATGGTGTCTCAATGGTTAGCGCTGCTGTCTCACAATGACAGGGAGCTTGGTTTGATTCCAGCCTCGGACAACTGTCTGTGTACAGTTTGCACGTTCTCCCCAAGTCTGCATGGGTTTCGTCCGGTTGTTCCAGTTTCCTCCTCCAGTCCAAAGATGTACAGGTTAGATGGTTTGGCCATGTTAAATTGTGCATAGTGTCCAGAGCTGACCAGGCTAGTTGGATTAGCCATGGGAAATGCAGGTTTACAGGGATAGGGTAGGGGTGGTGGGTCGGTGTGGACTTGATGGGCTGAACAGGCTGCTTTCACACTATAGGAATTCTATGATTCTGCTTTCCCCCTACAAGCTGATGCATGAGCACTGAGTAGATAACACTGTCACATATCTATAGACAGTTATATCCACTCACTAAGAGAGAGCTGGATCTGTAAAATTTAATTTTTTCACCTTTTAGTTGTGTCTTTTAAGTTTCATGATGCCAATACTAATCAGTGTTATTAGGGTGATTTTTGCTTGTTATTATGAAGAAAACGAGCGACAGTGAATCAGAGATAGTAGGAACTGCAGATGCTGGAAAATCTGAGATAACAAGGTGTAGAGCTGGATGAACACAGCCAGCCAAGCAGCATCAGAGGAGCAGGAAGGCTGACGTTTCAGGCCTAGACCCTTCACGTCAGCCTTCCTGCTCCTCTGATGCTGCTTGGCCTGACAGTGAATCAGCTACTTATTCATATTTTTATTTTTATTTATATAATTCACTTGGTTTTGGGTTATGCTGTGAAGATTGCTGCTTGCTGACCAGTACTTTACTCAAGTGTGCATTTTCTAATATGATTCTTTGATGTGTTAATAGACTACTTTTTAATCAAAGGGGTAGAAACAGCCAATGTGACCTTGTTCTCTGACACTTCCAAACATGAAATGTTTCCAGAATGCTGAAGTGGAATTGTTCAATTTTTCATTCCCTAACAGACTGCTGAGAATCTTTTTCATATATGTACCATCATTCCAGCCAAGATCATTACAGTGCAGAGTTGAAACTGGGAAATTGACGATCCATACTGCTAAATCATCAATTGCATGAATGAGCTCAATTATTAGTTGAGCTGCTTTGTATTGGGCGAACTGTTAACTGCATTGTACTTTGTTATTTGAATCTATGAGTTAAAATTTCTATGAGCTACTGATACCATGAATAGTTTAAAAATTGGACCTATAATTAATGAGTTAATTTAAAAAAGAGACATGTCAGAAGCACTGATGTAGAAGATTGCACCATTGGAAAAGAGGTGATTGATATGGAGAAATTAGGAGAATAGATTGGAGTCCTTTTAGGAGGCAGGTGTCAGGAAGTGCAGGTGTCAGTGGTAACTGTGGTAATCGGGGGGGCTTTAGTGAACATTAGTAGAGATCCCTAGATATGAAGACACAGGAATTGGGAAAGGAGTGGGGCGTTTCAAAGATGGACCATGTGAAGTTGAAAGAAAGGAAGAAATTGGAAGCAAGGTTGAAGATTTTTTTCAGTTCCAGTGGAGAGTGGGAAGGTATTGGTGTTGCTTCCTGTCTCTGCCAACTACAACCAAATCCACATCTTTTACCTGATTTTTCCATGATATTGTTGTCATTTCCTATCCTCCAATTTGTTCTTTTTTCTAAACCATCCCTTTTGTCTTTCCTTACCCTTTTCCGTGACACAATGTTTCAATATTCCTCCAGCTCTGAATAAGTCATATTCAAATCAAAATATTAATGTTGTTTCTCTCTCTACATATGCTCCAGACCTGATGATATTTCCAGCACTTCCAGTTCCTGCTATCAAATAACAGCCCTTTTGGCTGCTGTTTACCAATCAAATCAATTAAGGACCTGCTTCTTGCTACTTAGTCAGGAAGAGGGTGGATGGGAGGGATAGTGCAGCTGTTCTGTTTGAAGGGAGAACTGCATGTTTCAATAAACTCAACAATGATTTGATAGTTCATCTGCAGTGCCTGTTGGAATGGAAAGGAGACCTGGGAAGTATGCATGTGTATCTAAAATCCCATTCCCCCAACCTCAACCTGCCCTGCATCCCTAATTGGGCAGCCAACATTCATGTTTATCCTCAGCCTATTACCGTAACATGTCCATGTCCTTACCCCTCTTTGGCACACAAGCATTAACAGTGCATATACCTTCTTGCTTTCCCTCTGTGCAAGAAAAAATGGACTAAAGCTTAAAGACAAGTGAAGATGTGAGGTAGGCAGAGGCAACAAGTTGGCCTCCAGTGACGGACACCTCATTGGCTATTGGCAAGATATTTCCACTTGCTCCACTACAAAGGAGATTCTGTTCCATGAAGGCATAAATGTCAGCAGCAATCTGCCACGAAAGCCTGAACCTTTTGAGCACTGGTGTTCACACGTAGTGCAAGAGCTGGTCTTCTACCTGAAATCCCTGCGTTGCTGGGTCACACCTCTAACTGGCTGAATCTCGGCATCCATTCCCTCTTTCTTGTGGAGAGGCATGTGGCTGACGCGATGGCAGCTGGTGCTGCTGTGAATGTTGCTCCTTTTGCCAGTGGACCAGTTGGTAGTGTTGAGTTTCCTCCTGATCTACTTCAGCACAGATGAATGGTGGAGTTGGATAAGCTGCTCCTTAACAGCTCTGAACACTTCCAGCAGGGTAGTTGGAATGTGATGTACATTTTAAGCAATTGGTGGTCACCTGTCAAGCAGTCATAAAACTATCTGTAAAGAGTACTTTAAGCAGTAGACTTTTATCTCGCCATAGCTAGAACTCTTCACGGTGACTGAACAAAGTCTTCACAGCTTGGAAATCAGACATAATTTCTTGTTGCTGTGCTCTCACCACCTCCAATCTGTCAGGTTATTGGGCATGGTCTGGAACTCCTATATTGTTGGGAAAAAGAAAACGCATGGATACGTTAGTTCCTAATTTTATTCTTAATGGTTTCCCACTTCAGCCACATGTATCCCTGCTGCACTCAACTCAAGTGATCCTGGAAAAGCTAGAAAGAGCACATCAAGATCCTTACTCAGTGTCGTTAACTGCAACATTCCCAACCTGCATGCTCCCAAACCTGTTTCCGCCAGCCTGAGAAAATTCCACCTTGTGATTGCAAATGTAGTATTCTATTTACTTACGGATAATCTGTTGTGGACCTTATACTTTGACACCACCGTTAATGTAACTGCTGCTATATTTGCTTTCTATTTTTTGCAAAAATTGCGTACTCAGTTGCAATTTTAAGTTTACCTGATTTAGGCAATCAGTCTAGTTGCAAGCAGATTTATGTGCATCATAGAAAATGACTTTTAATTCTGTTAAGGGTTTGTATTTACATGCCAGTTTTGCAACCACTGCATATTTTGAAAAGGCAATTGTGGAAACAGTAGATTGATCTTTAGATTTTTATTCCAACCTAACTCTGGGATGCCTCACTACTGGCTGATGTGGGGACTGGAAATGCCGTAAAAGAAAGAAAGACTTTAGTTTGTAAAGTGCCATCGTGACCACTGTCACAACCTCGTGAAGTGTAACCAATGTTTTGGCGTAGACAGCACTGAAACCTGTGTGTAAAGAGCAAAATCCAACAATCAGCAATGTGATAATGACCAGGTAATCTGTTATTGTAATTCTGATAGGAGGGGATAAACATTGATCACGGGTAACGTTCCCAACTCTTCTTCCAAATAGTGTTATTTGTTCACCCAAGAAGGCAGACCCTGCTCCTACTCCCTCAGCATTGCACTGGAGTGCCAGCTGTGATTTTTGTACTCAGGACCTGGAATGGAACTTTAGCCACAAGCATCTGGCTTAGAGTCAGGTTATCACTGACTATGCCACAGTTGATACTAATATAACATTCATGCTGGTGGTTAATGCTGTGATATAGGTTGATGCTATGTCTTGTTACTGTGAAATGATTGGATTTGAGCTCTGTTCATATCAATTTCCAGTTTTTAATTAGTATCAGCGGATCTATAAGCAAGTCCTGCAAATGCTGCACAAATGTAGGACAGGTTTCTGTGTCTGGAAAATGACATTGATTAAACTTGGGTGTAGGAACGTGTTTGCAGGTATTTTCCTTGAAGTACATTCTAAGTTCCTTTTAAGTAATTTTAGATACATGGGCTGAATTTCATATAAGGCACAGGATTACTTGTGCCCCAACTTAAACATTGTGTTCCCACCAAGAAAAATGTTTCCACCAAGGGAAGCACTGAATGCCCTGCAAACAAAGGCTGGAACTAGACATTCATTCTTCTGAATTAAAAAGTCCCATATCAAAATTAAAAGCCAGCTCTAAATTAACAGTTCTTCAGCTCTTCAGGCCTACAGTACTGAATCATTTAAGAATAGTTGAGAATCACAATGAATATTAAGGTGGCAGGCCTTGGTGACGGGAGGTTGGGGCTTGAAATGGGAGGGGAAATAAAATCTTGAAGGACCCTCCAATTGGTTTAGTGTGCTCATTGATGAAGGACCACAACTTGGCCTGCCACCAGCCTACACAGAGAACACTGCCCCAGCTCAGTTCTTGGCATGAACCTTTCTGCCACCATTAAATCTTAGCAGTGGCAGAATGAGACCCTTAGTGGGAATTAATTGCACACCTACAGGCCTCAATTGGCTCATTGCCAGGCAGGGAACCTTGCACCTTGACAATATTGCATTGGATGCAGGGGCAAGCAGGTCGGTGTTAGACAAGTTCCTTTTGGATTTAACCCTCTTCACATTCAAACCCATTGGTTGGAATGTATTAAATGCAGTCCATTGTATGCAGCCTTTTGTATCATTACTTTAAAATTCATTTACCCTATATCATGTTCCAGGGCTGAAAATTTCATTAATAAACTTATCTTCAACTGACTATGTTGCTGGACTAGTTAGATTTTTTTGAGGAAATACTTTTTAAACAGTCTTGGAATAATCTCTATTTTGATTGACAAATGCCTTATTTTGTATGTGATTAGGAGGAAATGATAAAGGGAAATTTGCCCTAGGCCTGGTGCAGAATGAGTGGAAAGTCTATGTAAAGAGACCACTGGATCGCGAAGAACAGGATATTTATTTTCTGAATATCACAGCTACAGATGGACTTTTTGTATCAAGAGCAGTGGTAGAAATCAGAGTGCTGGATGCTAATGATAACAGTCCAGTCTGTGATCAAGTAAGTCGCATCTGTGTTTTTCCATTACTTTCTGAATCGTAAGTAATCCTTATTCAGTGTCCTAATGTTTGTTTTAATTTTTGAAGCATGAGCTATGTTTGAAACTCCGTATTGTTGTCAAATATCTACAGGTCACTTATACAGAGACAATTTTGGAAGACATTACACCAAATAAAGTTATTCTAAGGATTGGTGCTCATGATGTTGATGTTGGGTCTAATGCAGAAATACGGTATTCTTTGCATGGAACTGGCTCAGAAAAATTTTTCCTGGAACCAGAATATGGTAAATGTTTCTGTTGTTTCAATATGGATTTTTCAAGTTATTTATTGGAGTAAGAACTAAAAAGGGTGAGTTTAATTATTTAATGTGATAGAGATGTGTTATGTTAAAATTCAACTTAAACAGTGTATCTGAGAGTTTCTTTAACAACTGAAATATAGAAACTGCTGACATTTTACAATCAGACAGATTTTTGATCATGCAAAGTTGCCACACAAAGACTTGGTCAGTATTAATGCATGTACAGAACAGAAAACGACCTATTAAAAAAACTGAAAACCAAAAGGCGTATTGTAACAAGGTAAAGATTAGGAAGAAAAATATGGTTACAGAACAGGAAAGCAATCTAAAGATTAAAATAATTTTATAGTTGCCAGACATTAACAATAACTTATTTATTTAAGCATGTCAGTGTAAATTGCACAATTAGAGCAACACAAAACGTGGCAAGCCTGTAGACAAACTGATTTTGGAGGTGTAGAAGCAAACCACAAAACGTCTGGATGTTGCTCACTGAGGATGTTGTTCCTCTATTTAAAGAATTTCACTTCAGTATGTATTTTTCAAAATTCAGTTATTGTTTGTCACTTCATGAGTGTGAAATACCTTTAAACTGTGTTTCATTCTGGGTGTTTTAACAGCTAATGGTATAATATTCCACACGGGGATTCTGCTTACATCAGAATTAGAATAATTTCACCTGGCCTAGAATGATTTGAATAATTAGGAATTATAGCTCTTTAGCTTTTGTTTGCTGTTACTTTCTAGACAATTATGAGTTTATATTTATTCTAAACTTTGATTTGTTGTGGTTATCCAATAGGTGAACTGAAAACATTATCAGTTTTAGACCGTGAGGAAACTCAAGTATATAATTTGATTGCCAGAGCAACAGATGGTGGTGGGCGCTACTGCCAGTCAGGAATAGTTCTGTTATTGGAGGATGTGAATGACAATCCACCTATATTTTCCTCCAATCATTATACTCAGTCTGTTTATGAAAACACAGCAATAAAGGCTTTGCTGGCAAAGGTTGAAGCAACAGATCCAGATACAGGTAAGTCATTGAATATTCTGTAAAACACTTATTCTACTGGTACACAGGACAACAAAACAAACAATTAGGAAAGCTGACATGTTTTAATTAGTTGTATCATGATAGGAACTTTAAAACAATAAATATTTTACTTGCATTTAGTCCGACATAAAATTTCTCTGATAATCAATTCCAATTTATTTCTTCATAATCAGAATTGATATCACAGTCATTGACTTTTATATATGAAGAATTGGAATGAATGAGAAACTGGAAGAAATGTCATTGAATAACTTGGAAGTTGTACTTCTTCATTTTTTCCAGTTCTTAGTACAAGGATTTACAAGGATTATCTATTGTCATTCATTTAACTTAGTTTTATACATTGTGAACATAGAATAGGCATTTATTATTTTAGCTTTCATTGGATTTGAGATCTGTTCATATCAATTTCCAGTTTTTAATTAGTATCAGCGGATCTATAAGCAAGTCCTGCAAATGCTGCACAAATGTAGGACAGGTTTCTGTGTCTGGAAAATGACATTGATTAAACTTGGGTGTAGGAACGTGTTTGCAGGTATTAGCATCATTTACCTCAGTACCTATCTCACCTAAATCATCGTTGCCTCCAAGCTGTCCAATGGCCTGCAACCTGTCCTTCATCATTCATGGATTTCTGCTGTCCAAATACCATAGATATCAAATCCCACATGCCTATCTCCCAATCTGTACTAATCTCCATTTATTTCCGGTATTCTAATACTTTAAATTTATAAATATTGATTTTATTTTTCAATTCTTCTATGATATTATTCTTTGCTGTTTTGAGACTTTTTTCAGTGCTGTAACTCCAAACTATTCCTTTGATGCCATCAACTGTTGTACTGCTTTTCTTTTTACCTTTTCAGTCAAGGCTGTGTCTTCATCTGTGCAAGCCTATACTGCGAAATTACCTTCATAAATTATGCTGCGTCTCCACTTTCTACTTCTCCTTTTAAGACCTTAATATTTATGCATTTTATCAAGCTTTTAATGATCTAGTTTAATATTAAAGAATATTTTTTTCATTTCACCCTGTGAAATACTTTCAGATCTTTGTCAGATAAGATGCTACATAATGCAAATATTTATTGTTGTAATCATTTTGTGTCTCTTACTTGGTACCCTAGCTATTCTTCGCCGTTTATGCTAATATGTCAGTAGCTATTTTTATGGAAAGAAGTAAGTTTAAAGAACTAGCTTTTATTCATTGACAGGATATGAGCATCACTGGCATTTATTGCTCATCCATATTCACCCTTGAGACCATTGTGGTTAGCTGCCTTCTTGAACCGCTGAAGTCCATGTACTGTGGGAACACCCATAATGCTGGTAGGGAGGTGTTTCAGGATTTTGACTCAGTGATTTTGAAGGAACAACAATCTGTTTCCAAGTCTGCATGGTGAATGGCAGGAGGGGAACTTGTAGGTGGTGGTGTTCCCATGATTCTGCTGTCGTTGTCCTTTGTGGGTTTGGAAGGTGCTACCTAAGGATCTTCTGCAGTGTATCCTGTAGAAGGTAGACACTGCTGCTATTGCGTGTCAGTGGAAGAGGAACTGAATGTTCGTATATGCGGTGACAATCAAGCAGTTGCTTTAACCTAAATAGAGTCAAATTTCTTGAGTTTTGTTGGAGCTGCATTGATCCAGGCAAGTGGGGAGTATTCCATCACACTCTTCATTTGTACCCTGTAGATGGTGGACAAGCTTCAGGAAGCAAGGAGATGAGTTATTTGCTGAGTGATTCCTAGCCTCTGGCCTGTACTTGTAGCCACAGGTAAACAATAGACAACACAACAGACGGATAAATGATGAATGCACATGCACATGCACAATGCAGGGATAATATTCCTGCGAACTTGAACATCCCAGCATCTTTGCTTGTGAGTTATATACTTAGCTTTGCTAGCAGGATGAAAAATTAGATCAAATAGCTCTCCATCACTTAATATTGATTAATTTTCATCCTGATTAAGTCACAATATTATTTTCTGACACTTATATCCATCAACTGCACAATTCAATCAGCGTCTCTTCTGATTGCATAAGATGGTGTCAAGTGCAATTCACACATTTAATTTGTGGTTTGCAGCACTGTTTGTAATGTGGATGATGAATTATTTATTCTACCTTTGAGAGAAACATTATTCAAGTAGTAGGTACACAGTTTAATGTTTGCCACTTGTCTGGAGATTGCGTGTGCTGATTTGTATGGATTGGGCGAGCAGTTGTCAATGAGTTTGGTCATTGCAAGTTATTGCAGGGGAATTGCAAACTGGAAGTTCATTTCACAGTAAAATTTCTACAGTTACAAACTCCTCTGGGTTATTTCTATTTTTTAATCTGTAAAATGGTATGCAGCTGAATTTCCTTTGGCTTTCACCTGTTATATTGTTGTATCTGTGACAGAAGCCTTTTTAATATGACAGGTGGAGTCATTGCTGGCCCTCCACCAAAGTTATGACAGTGGAGTACAAGAAACTCCAGAAATTAACCCTTTTTTCTTTAAGTTAGGGGCATTTTTCTAACATTGTTTGAGGACGTAATCCGTCATTTTCAGTTGTAGTGATCCAAGCTAGCATACTTGCAAATATGTTTGACCTAAAAACAAAGCTCTTCCTTTTGCAAATTAAATTTTAATGGTATGTTAAAAATGTTGTCTAAATGTCCCTCCCTTTCTTCCTAAATTCATTTTGTCTATTTGGTAACTGGAATAGTGTTGTCTCGTGTACCCCTACTTAGTACTTTCACTCCAGTTGTAAGTAAACTGCAAATTTGTTTAGCTGACCACAAGGCATTTGATGTGAGTGTGAATAAAGATAAAACGTTTGAAATATGAAATAAAGCAAAGGGCTGGAAATATACAGCAGGTTATGAAACACTTCTGAAGAATGAAGAAAGATTAGATCATTTTGGGTGGTTTCCCTTCAACAGGAATACCCTGAAGAATAGCTTGCAGCAAACCTGTCTTTTCTCTTGACATGTTGGCTAAGCTGTTATGCATTTTGAGCATTTCCTATACTTATTTTATTGTTTGTTATATGTTTGATAAATTCAACAAATAAGAGTGTATGCCTCAGACGAGCGACACATTAATAACAGGGTCAAATCTACTACAGACCACCATGTTTTTGAAATGTTAATAAACGGAAAAGCAAATTTTGTGCAAGCTATGGTGTTCTTTAACAGATACTTGCAAATAGAAAATAATGTCACACGTTCCCTTATGTTACACTCAATTTTTAGAATAATACCAGGAAATTCATAATAAGCATAAGCAACATATGTTTGTATTATTTATACTCGGTTGTCAGAAGTCACACGACACCAGTTTAAAATCCAACAGGTTTGTTTAAAATCTCAAGCTTTCGGATCTGTTGGACTATAACCTGTTGTCATGTGACTTCTGACTTTGTCCATCCCAATCCAACACCGGCACCGGCACCGGCACCGGCACATCATCCACCCAGCAGGTCATCCGTATACCTTATTAAAGCGTTCTTTATATGCTACTGAGGCACAAGTGTTTACATTGCTTATTCCCTCCTTTAACAACAACTCAGAGTTCAAGTTAACAATGAATTTTAGTTACTTTTGGATCACTTTATATTCTAAACTCCTTAGCCCAGAACTAGATTGAAACCCCGATTGAAACTCTGATTGAAACCTGAGTCATAATCTTACTACTTAATTCTATATTGTGTGCCAGTAGTTGACCCGAGAAACCTTGCACAGTGTATGGTAAATTATTTTGCCAGTGTCGGGTTTAAAGTATATACATAATTATTTATTTATTTATTTAGTTTCACCAAGCACAAGCACCATTGACAAATGCATAATCATATAATTAAGAACTACTTCACTGGAATCAATTTGGCATTTTACTACCCTCCACATATTTCAAAATTCTTAAATAAAAACACAATTTAGAACATTTCAAAGACTATAAAAGGTTATAAGGATGGACCGCCATCTAAATGCTCTGGCAGATAGGACAACTCACAAGCTGGGTATTCTGCAGGAGGTAGCTCAACTTCTGACTTCCAAAGCCTCTCCTCAACTTAAAATGCACAAATGAGCAGTGTGTTGAAATGATAGATGGATTTCCAGAAGGCATTTGACAATGGTTATTGCACAAAGCCGGAGTTCATGGTATAGGAATAACATATTAGCGTGGTAGAAGATTGGCTGGCTGCCGGGATGCAGTGTGTGCATAAATGGGTGCTTTGCTGATTGAAAGAATGTGATGAATAGAGAGATGCAGGATCTCTGCGAGACCCTCAACTTATTATAATTTATTTCAAGACCTAGATGAGCAAAGTGAAGGTAGGAAAGTATATTGTGAAAAGGACAGCGTAACGAGGTAGCAGCTGGGTTGAGTGAGTAGGCAAAAATATGGCAAGTGGAATATAACGTGGGGAAATGTGAACTTGTTTACTTTGCTTGGAAAAATGAAAAGTAGAGTAGTACTTAAAACAAGGATGGTTGCAAAATTCTGAGGTGCAGAGGAATCTAGAGTTTCCAGTGAACGAGTAACTGGTAGTATGTAAGTACAGCAACTATTTAAGAAGTCAAATAGCGAACTATCCTTTTATGTGAGTGATTGAACATAAATTAAGAATTTAATGTTTAATTTAATGAAGGTATTTGTGAGACCACGTCTGGAATAACTTGTACAGTTTTGGTCTTTTTTCAAGTAGCACACCTCACTGGGGTTAGTGTGTTGTAAATCAAGTCACATTGTTCTCAGGTTGTCATAAATTTGATAATTTGATTAAATCATTGAATTGCCCAATTCTACCTTACCTAGAACAAGCACGTATTTTTTTGGAGTCAACAGCTTCTGTCTTCCTTTTTACTACTAGATTTCCTAAGCCTTGATAAACTAACTGGCGTTGGTTAAGTTCAAAGTATGCATTCTTGATGTCAAAGATGGCCACACCCCACACATGCACAGATGACTTCTGTGATGTCATTTATTGC